CGGAATCGTACAGTGGGATAGTTTTAGCAGACATATATCTCTACATAATCTGAGCATGTGAACGGTTGATGAGACAGTCACTAAGGACAACAAATTCGTCAGATCAGGGATCGCGATCGATAGAAAGAATGAAAATATAATTTTATAATTATGTAACCGTGTGTTTCTCTGATTTTGAGTGGAATCACAGCCATCGGCTAAATGTGACCTTGTCATCTAGAACAGCAACAAATGTATGTACATGTTATGTTTTGAGATGTGTAAACTGAATAACCTCTTAACTCAGCAGTTACGTGGTATTATGTCTTTCATACAAAATATGTAGTTTTGGCACATGCTAACCTGTTAAATGTTATATTACTGAAGGTGAGCTTCTGTCCAAGTCCTTTGCTTCAAACATCTCGGTCATCAAAAACCTTTTGTACGTTTTTGGAGTGAGTGAGTGAGTGAGTCTAACCCTAGGAACACCAGCAGTTCCAACCACATCTAGTCTGAGTGAGTATAGTTTTACGCCGCTATTAGCAATGTTCCAGCAATATCACGACGGGGGACACCAGAAATGTGTTTCACACATTGTACCCATGTGGAGAATCGAACCCGGGTCTTCGGTAGCGTCCCTTGGTCACGTTAGACACCTATGATTGTGAGTTTGAATCCTGGTTTGCTCCTATTATGTGTGTAGCTTTGCCAGCACCATACATGTGCCATTACCGTAGTTTACTGATTATATTTACCACAAAGGAAGCTGTTCGTAATTGTTAATTTACCACGTGCAATATTAATGTGTTTACCTGTTCTGTTGTCTGACTCTGACATATTTACTCATCTGGGAGAAGTAGCACCACAATGGCAGTGCTTGATTATTCAGAATACATTTGGTCGGGTTTCTGTCGAGTATTCCTTTTGGATGCTTTCGTTTTGCATTTTTAATGGAATCCTTCAGGCAAAGTTTGAAATGGCACCATTAATGTCTGTACAATGTCACGCACACACGGAAGCAAAGGAGAGCTCATTGTGACCAGGGTCGTGGTAATTCTGCATGAAGGGGAGTCAAGGAGAAACAATACAGCCGGTCTCCAAGAGCGCCAGGTACAAAGTAGATTATAATCACCATATAAAACATTTTGAAAGAAGATGGAGATGTAACGTTTCAGAAATACATCCATCAATCCATCCACCCAACCATACATCATCCACCTACCTATCCATATATCATCTACCTATCCATTCATCACTCACCAGCCAACCCATCCATCCATCAGTCCATTCACCTATCAAACCACCCATCCATCCATCCATCAATCCAACCAACCACCCATCCATCCATCCACCCATCATCCATCCACCCACCCACCCGTCGGTCAACCTATCAATCCATTCACCCCCATCCACCCCCACCCCCACCCCATCCAGCAAGCCATCCAGCAAGCCACCCATTCACCCACCCATCCACCCACCCATCCATCCATCCATCCATCCATCCACCCACCAATCCATTCACCCACCCATCCATCTATCCACTCACCCACCTACCCATCCATCCATCCACCCAATATCCACTCATCCATCCATCAATCCATCCCCATCCATCCATCCACCCACCCACCCACCCATTCATCCATCCATCCATCCACCCAACCATCCATCCATCCACCCATCAATCCATATACCCATTGCGTAAAAGTTTCACATTTACTGGGTCATGTGACTCAATTGTAATATGTCATATTATACAGTACCACCAGAAATTATTGAATTATTTTTTCACTCATTACTCACGTATTAAATGTGAATATTAGCAGAACATAACTCAAGATTCAAAGACAGGTGAACAGTTAGTATTTTGTCAAGTCACCATGGGCAGCAATGCAGGCTTCAATGCGGCGGGGAATACTACCGATCAAAGAAGTTAGAAAGTCGTGGTCCATGCTGTCCCAATATCGGACCACCTCTTCTTTCATTTCAGCAATATTTGTCAGATTTTTCTTATTGACTCTTTCCTTCATAAGTCCCCAAACATTTTCTCCTGGATTTAGGTCAGGGCAATAGCTTGGCCAATCTAAATGTCATATTTTGGGTCCGAAACCAGGCCTGTGATTGCTTTGAACGCTTTTTTTTTGTGGTTGTACATGTCCTGCTGGAAAATCCAAAAATGTCCATAGAACACGTGAGCAGATGGAAGTAAATGTCTCTCACAGAAATGCCCCATATACACAGAGGGACGTTGCCTCTAACACAGATATGCCATCCCACACGCTAAATTTCGGACTATACTTTGGGCGCGGATACAAAGGTTTTTCAGTTTGTTTGGTCCAGAATTTCAGTGTATTAGGAAACAGCCACACAGAACTTTCATCTGAAAAAATCACATTGTTCCAGTTAAAATTTCTATGCTGTAAGCACTAGTTCAACCTTCGCTCCTTTTGTTCAGGTTTCATGAACGGTGATGGAATTCCTCGACTTTTCTGCCAACACATTGCATGCAGCTCAGTTCTAATTGTCTCCTTACAGCCAGCCACAGTTCCTTTATCAATCATATCCAGCCTTAAGTTTTCTAAACTCCTTCGTTTGTTTTTAGAAACAAGAATACCAAGCCGCCCCCCTTTCACCGACAGTCAATTTTCTGGGCCTACCTGCGCCTCCCTGGTGCTCAACGCCTTTGCAATATTTTTCAAAACACGATAAACAGTGGACAAAGGGATGCCTGTTCTTCTTGAAATCGCTTTAGCTGATCTGATGTCCTTGTTATAATACTCTAAAATCAACTTCCTCTTCTCTAAATCATCCATACTGAGGATCACTGAAAATGTCGTCTGCTAGCAAGTAAACAAAGGGGAATAACTCTTCACAAACTAATGAAAAAGGATTAACGGAGTGAATGAAACCAAGCACTTGATAGCTGGTCAAGGTTGTTTACACTAGAAATCCAAGTAAACATATTCCTAAATTCTCAGTAATTTCTGGTCATACTATATGATAGTAATATAGAACCTAATATTACCATACTGTATAAAAACGCATACACATGTACATACATATAAAGAAAATGTTTTCGTACTGTCTTTAAAATCATTTCAACAATTATATTATTAATTTATTCTGACGAAGGAGAATGTTGATGTTTTCATTGCTTGAGTGTTCTACCTTGGTTTCATGGCTATAAGATAGTGATTCATTAACACACGCTTATCATCTAGTCGGAATCGTACAATGGACTAGTTTTAGCAGCGATATATCTCTACATAATCAGATTATGGAAACGTTGATTAGGCAGTCACTAAGGATATCCAGTTCGTCACACACACACACACACACACACACACACACACACACACACACACACACACACACACACACACACACACACACACACACACACACACACACACACACACACACTATCATGGTGACCATATACTACTATCGTGGTGACCATATGCCGCTATCGTGGTGACCATATGCCACTATCATGATGACCATATACCGCTATCATGGTCATCCTATATCGCTATTGTGGTGACCAAATACCGCTATCGTGGTGACCATATGCCGCTATCATGGTGACCATATACTACTATCGTGGTGACCATATGCCGCTATCATGGTGACCATATACCGCTATCGTGGTCACCATATACCGCTATCGTGGTGACCATATGCTGCTATCGTGGTGACCATATACCACTATCGTGGTGACCATATGCCGCTATCATGGTGACCATATACTGCTATCGTGGTGACCATATGCCGCTATCATGGTGACCATATACTACTATCGTGGTGACCATATGCCGCTATCATGGTGACCATATGCTGCTATCATGGTGACCATATACCACTATCGTGGTGACCATATGCCGCTATCATGGTGACCATATACTGCTATCGTGGTGACCATATGCCGCTATCATGGTGACCATATACCACTATCGTGTTGACCATATGCCGCTATCATGGTGACCATATACCACTATCGTGGTGACCATATGCCGCTATCATGGTGACCATATACCGCTATTGTGGTCACCATTTACCGCTATCGTGGTGACCATATACCGCTATCATGGTCACCATATACCGCTATCATGGTGACCATATACCTCTATCGTGGTGACCGTATACCGCTATAGTGGTGACCATATGCCGCTATCATGGTGACCATATACCGCTATCGTGGTCACCATATACCGTTCCTGTATGTCGCTACCACTTCGTTTTTTAACGCCGTACTTAACACTATTCCAGTTTTAGGAAGGCTGTATGAAGCGATTTGGATGACGTGCATCAACCAAGTCAGCGAGCATGACCACCCGATCCCGTTAGTCACCTTAAGACAAGCACAGGTTGCTGAAGATCAGTTCTTACCCAGAAATTCCACTGGCCTTGTGATTTGTGACAGCCATTGACGTTATTCATTGATCAATCGATTTCCCCTTTCATTCAGTGCACAGCTTACCTGTCAGGTTTGGTTGACTGGTCGAACCGGTTACATTGATATTCAGATTTATAAATATGGTATGCAGAGCGGGAAAGTAACAAGTATTAATACATTTACGACGAGAACGTTATATGTCAGATAGATACGTTAGATACTTATCGATATCTAAAAAATTGTGTTTTATATAAAATGTTTTAAACAGCAAACTGACCACACAACGTCACAATCTGATTACAGGCCTTCTCCATACCGGTTTTGCATCTACGCAAACCGGTTTCTCATATCTATAAAAACCGGTTTCAGTATTTTTCAGTTTTCAGTATTGTTACCTGTGAAAACAGTATTATATAGAAATATATCTATATTCGAAGGTATAATTTATTCAAACAGACGATCGATTTAAACACCTGTTATAAAATCTGTAAATAATAAGCCTGGCAACGTACAGTTTAACTGTCACGTCAGTGCTGACCTCGAGTTCAGTAGGACCGTTTAAGAGAAAACTGTCAATAAACTGTGTTGAAACTACCTGTGTGTGTGTGTGTACTATGAATGACTGTATAAAACATGCTGGCGTTGTTGACAGTGTGGTCACGTGGCGCTGTCTAGGCAACGGGCTGTTGATAACGCTCGGATAACTAGCCGTGAAGATAGTCGTACCGACTGTCTGGTGGATGATAACAAACTATGCTGTTTTGACTCCGTGAAGATTCGATACAGCGGCCACACGCTTCTCGGACACTGGAACCATGGAAGAACTACTGAAACTAGTAAACCCAAACTACGTCCGAAATTTTCAAGAATTTTGCGGACTACAACCCCGCGAACAGTGTGGCGCTGAATCCGGGGTCCATCCGTCTGAGAGATCAGAGGTCAGTGAGTTTGCACCCCACACCCCAAACACAAACGGGTTTCGGAAAACGGAATATAACAATTATGTTAAAAGCCGGATTGATAATGACGGACCAGCGTGTGTTTACACGGATAAGGGTCGGTCGTCACGCCCCAGCCTCGTCGAACAGACGCCGTATGTAATAAAGTATAAATCTATATATTACGTTGCCAAAGTTGGATCGTTTTTTGGCGACGAATTGTTCTATGTGATATTCTTTTCATTTTGGATATGGAACGTTGACAGTCTCGTTGGCAGACAGACGGTGTTTGTGTGGTCACTGGTGATGTATTTCGGACAAGGAACTAAGGACTATCTGCGATGGCCCCGCCCCCCTTCACCCCCAGTCTTCAGGCTGGAAACTGCCCATTTGCAGGAATATTCCATGCCGTCTACTCACGCAATGGCCGGAACTGCCATTCCTGTTGTGTTGTTCTACGGGATTTGTACTCGATATGAGGTAAGAATTCAATATGCGCCTTATAATGCCGATGTATGCAATGTTCATGGTGGGAGCGTTGTGTTGGGGCTCAGGTAAGTGTCCAAGTTAGCTGAGGTGGATGGCGATCGATTGTAGCGCTGATTACTGGGTGGGACGGGTGTGGAGATGGGTGTGGGGATTGTTGGTGTGTGTGTGTGTGTGTGTGTGTGTGTGTGTGTTTGGTTGGTTGGGATGTTTATAGTGTATTAAGTTGCAAGTTTGTTATTGTATTGTTAAGCAAACGAATATGTCATTCAGTTTTAACACAGATTTTATCAGATTCGCTTGGCTAATACACTCGTTAGATGCTTCTCGACAGTGACACGAAAGTCTAGAAGGCCACGGCGAAACAGGGGGTGGGTGGGGGTCTAGTGGCAGGCGGGATAATGTACAGTAAGCAACAGGATCTGTGTCAGGGTCAGGGTGGGAGTTACTTTTGGTAACTCTCGCTGCTGAATCATTCATTGTGACTGATCGAAATGCAATGCCTCAAGCGTCGACACACGTACACACATACATATCCCTGCTCATAATTTCGCGTTGTCACGATGTTATTATGCTTTCGTTGTGAAAACTTTGTGATATTACGTCCGTACAACGTCATTCTGTGGACTCCCATTTACGTTGTCACAACGTTGTGCCGTGACTTTGTGTTACGTCATTTTCACGTCTTCAGTGTTATAGGAACGTTATAAGTACGGGGGACCATTAGTTCTTTCTTAAATAACAAGTCAGAACTTGGGCTCAGTCCTCAAATGAAGAGGAGGAAGAATTATTTACAGATCTTCATCTGCAACAAGGTCTGTCCATCTGCCGTAGCCTCTGAGAAAAACAATGACATTAACATCTAATGACAAGGCATCTATTTTGTATGTAAAACAACCCAAAATGGTAATAATGCGATGTCTGGTTTAAATGGATCATAGGAGCCAAAAAATTATATATAAACATAAAAATAAACCCACTGATTTGAAATCAAACAAAGTTTTTATTTCAATGTTTTCATTCTGGAAGATGTTTGCATGATCATTGCATCGTCCATACCTTTTGTATTGAGAACACGCTGTGTGTTAGCTCGATTCGTACACACGTTATTAAACAGAACCGCATCCTTTACTATTTCAGATTCAAATTCAGCTCCGATGTTTATATTGTGTTTGTTTGTTTGTTGTTTAGCGTCGTACTATTCCAGCTATATGGCGACGGTCTGTAAATATTCTGACCGGGTCAGATAACCAAGTGATCAACATCATGAGCATCGATGCTTTTATTGCCAACATACCGAGATGATGTGATCACCATGCTGTTCCACTGCAGCAGCTGCTGCGTGAGTGAGTGAGTGAGTGAGTGAGTGAGTGAGTGAGTGAGTTTAATTATAGCATTTCAGATATATTGTGACTCTCGTCAGAGGACAGAATTACAACTAGCAAACTATCAGAATGGTTTATAACTGGTTTCAGAACTTAAAGACTATCTGACCATTTGGCAACGGTGTTAGAGATCGCCAGCAGCATGTGTAGGGTCAGCATGCTATTGATGTGGACCCACGATATGATGTACACCTTTTAGTTCCTGACGACTGCCGGAGACTAAAAGTAACAAATATTGTGCACTTAGAATTCCGGTAAATATATGTATATATATACATACGCTTTGAAAGACGTGGTCTTACAGATCCTCTCGGGATGATGATGATGATGATGATGATGATGATGATGATGATGATGATGATGATGATGGTGACGACAACGACGATGATGAGAGATTAAGATGATCTATAATTCAATTGGTGACCAAAAGGAGTCAGCCTGGCGGAAGTTAAGTACATACTCTCATGCACGTGCCTTTGATCTCGCGAGATACAGCAGTTTGAAAGAGACGGAAGTGTGTGTTATAAACCATTGCCTCCCGCTACAAACAAAAAAAGCCTGTTAGTAGACAGAGCCCAGCTTGACACAGGAAACGAACTTCACCTTACGTGTAAACACCGACCAGATACAGGACGCTCACAGTTCTAATGAAACAAGGAAACCCGATGTAAAAAGACCACAACTTAATCACAAAATACTTTCCTTTATATTATTGATTATGTTACTAATTACCCCATTACATTGTAAAGTGAATTTGAAGCCGGAATCAGGATGAATTTGTTTATGAGATAATATAAACACATTCGTACTTTGTACGTATATACTACTCAAAAGAAATTAAACATCAAAATTTGACGCGACAGACTGTGTCGTCATGTGGGAAATAGTATGTTTCTCAACCTCTTTCAAGTTGAGTATCTGGCCTATGTTTGGTTCAGAGTTCAAAATATAGAGCACGTTTTTAAAGTGTTTAAATATACAGTACTCAAAAGGTTGTGGTATAACCATTCACGCTCTTATGTGAATAGTTCATCAGTTTATTATGGAGGAATTTTGAAAGGGGGGAGGGTCGTCCGGACACACACACCCCGAACCCATACCCACCCCCCAACACACACACACGCACGCACGCACGCACGCACGCACGCACGCAGACACACACACACACCCCTCTGGATCCGCCAATGCAGTATTCCCGGTAAGATATACCCGTTCTCGACATTTTCCCGACTACACCATAATTAACGAAGAGATGAAGTATATTATTGACAGTCGATGTTTGATTGTTTACACTGGTTTCGAATGACGTCAAGAGGAGCTGTTAAACTATCATGGTTGCCAGATTCATACAAATGTATTTCACAACTGAATAGGTTTCAATGTCGGCAAACAATAATGACTGCGTTCTTTACAAGATTCTGAAGGGATCGTATGAAAAACGTCTGAATTATATTTCATTTATATTTGTCCCAGATAAACTTCATAATTTTTTTCTGAAACACATTATTGAGCGTTAATTTCCAATGTTGACATAATTATATGTTTAATCTATACTCGTGATCTTTCAATGTCTGTGGCTGTAGTTTATTATGCGGACTCTGAAATAAATCTATCGAATGCAGACCATATTTGTCAAGTCTAGATTAATGCAAGAATGAAGAAAGTATCTTTTTATAACATTTTATTAAGATAATTTAACAGATGTTTTTTCCGTGAAATATTTTCATTTCAGAAACTAGAGGTTAGTTAATGTACGTCATAGAAAGTATATTATTTAAATGAAGGAACTATCTTGTCCCTTGAACAGCTGACCCAGTTTACAATGTCATGACTCAGCAATACTGCTGACCCAGTGAAAATTTTATACCTTGACAACCTATTTCGTCATTTCACAGAAATGCGAGCAATTCGACCGAGAACGCCAACAAGATACGTCACATCAGGTATAATTGTTAAAGGAAGGCAATCGGATGTCCCGTGAACATACATTACATAACAATGCTAAAAATCGCCCCAAATGCCATCTTTTCAAATCTCACACCTGTTTATATCTGACGGGTTTATACCTATTTCCGAAGGTTTTGATTTCAACACGGACCCCTGTGTATAAACCGGTACATAACTCGGCTGTATTTGTGATATTTGGTGCATGACGGTACGAGGATGCGTCGTAGTACAAAGCTATACCTTCGTCTTCGTAGCTATTTATCAAGTCAGAGTAATGACAGAAATTTAACACATCCATCAAGGTTAACTCAACCTTGAAAAGATCCCATGCTTGTCGTAAAAGGCGACTAACGCGATCGGGTGGTCGGGCTCGCTGACTTGGTTGACACATGTTATCGTATCCTAATTGCGTAGGTTGATGCTCGTGCTATTAATCACTGGATTGTATTGTGTTGTCCAGATTGGATTATTTACAGATCGCCGCCATTAGGACTGCAATACGCTTTTCAACTGATACGTATTGCAATATTTATTTCTAAGGACCGGTATATTGGGTAAAGTACATATGCTCTCCCAAAAAAGAAACGCATCATGAAAATAACAATTTCATGTAGCAATGAATTAAAACGTGATTCATTTTACAAAAGGTTTTGCTGTGTTTATGAGTCCTATGGTGTTTATGTTTTGAAACATCACAACAAAACGCACCATCCGTAAAATACCCGCATGATTTTCAATTTCGGCGTGTAGTGTCACAGAATACACAATTCACATGCAATGCACGTGAAAGTTGGGGATCAGATAGTCTCAATGATGGGAATAAAAGGTCGATCGCTGTCTGTCGATTATTCACTGTAATTGGAATATTGTTGACGAACGCAAAATTCCACGTCTAAGTGAAGCCAACCGTCATATCGCCATTGGTTTGCTTGAAGCTGGCCAGTCTCAACGTGCAGTTGCCCGACGCATGAATGTTCACCAAAGCACCATTTCACGGCTCTGGGAGAGATATCGCCGGCAGAATGCGGTAGCAGATGCCCCTCGTTTTGGGCGACCTCGAGCGACCACTGCGGCGCAGGATCGCTGCATCCGGGTACATCACCTGCGTCATCGAACAGCTACGGCGACCAGTACCGCTCGACAAATACCCGGATTGAGGAGGCTTTCTGCACAGACCGTCAGGAACAGGTTGAGAGAGGCTGGTTTACGTGCCAGAAGGCCTTGTTTTGGCCCTGCGCTTCGACAACAACATCGTCGACATCGAGTTGAATGGTGCACCAACGTTCAGGCCTGGAACCTACCGAATTGGCGTAGAATCTGGTTCAGTGATGAATCACGATTTCTATTGGAACGACGCGATGAAAGAATGCGGGTGTACAGACGTCGACGTGAACGTTTTGCCGACGCTTGCGTTCCGCAGGTGGACAGATTCGGCCGAGAAAGTGTTATGATGTGTGTGTGTGTGTGTGTGTGTGTATTATTGTGTGGGGTCACCTGCCGTAGGAGAAGTGATTTGGTGATGATCCAGGGCAACCTGACAGCTCAACGGTACTGTGACGAAATCCTACGCCCACACCACCTTCCAATCATTGATCGCCAGAGGGAGTTGTTTCAACAGGACAATGCCAGGCCCCACACAGCACGTCACACTAGCGGCTTCCT